AAATCATTTTAAATCCCTTGCTAGATTCCTAGACATTCACAAATTACTTTCTGAGGGCATTATTGGATCTTTTGATTTTGCCATCATGATACATCAATAACAAAGAGAACACTAGACCTTAGGTATCTGAGGTTTAGGTAGGACAGGTTCTATCAGCTACTCCATAAAAAAGTTCTGGTCATTGGCACCTAATTGGGAAAACCTGATTCTAATTAATTGCTTTTAAGTGGCAGTAAAAGTTGGGATCTACTTATGTTTTCACGTGACAAATCTGCATTTTATTTTAATTTCAATTTTCAGAATATATACACATTGTAAGCGTTAGTTTTCACTTGTTCAAGTATATCACCTTTATCTGTAGGCACTGTTTGAAAAAATATCTGTGGTTTGCCTGTTCAAATATGTTGAAGAAGTGAACAGTTTCCATGGGGTGTACTTCTTTTTCACATGACTGTAAGTGCATACAAATCCTTCTGCATGAACACTTTTTCCTGTCCACAGCAACTAACTGGATTCTTTATTTTATGCCCCAAGAAACGCAACAGCTGGATTGATTCTTATTGGCAACACAAACACTTTGTTCCTGGAGTTTTATAAATCAGCCTGATTGTGATTTCATCCAACACGTTCTTTTCCTTTTCAGTTTGGCTGCTGCAGTGAAGAACAAAAGATTTTTCCAGATTTAATGAATAGCCAATTGTTTGAACATTTTGTATGTGGTAGGATGTTCGGTTGACCGTGCTGTTAATAATCAGCCATAAGTGTATGTGATTTACTCTGCTAAATTACTAGGTTGCAGAACAATGTAATGATGGGTTCATGGTATTAAGAGAAGTATTACTGTACTTTAGTGTTTGATGAATATAGCTTTTTTTTGCATACGGAGAGGAATAACTTTTAAGTAACTCTAACATTTCTAAATGAATATATTTATTAAACATTTTCTTACCTCTGTTGTATCCATATACAGTAGGACAGAAATATTGTATACTCTACTCCCTATATCCACCCAAAGCTGTTGTTTTCAGCGACCTCTGCCAGTTGAATTACCATTTTTTTTTATTCTTGGGAATTCTAGCTGCAAGAGCCCCATTTTCTAGCCATGGCTAGTAAAATCTTGCTTACTATTTAAAGAAATCCCTTGAGCCATTTTAAACATTTAAAACTAGAAGGGCTTGCTAAGGCTCCATGTACACGGGACATTTGGAAAACACTTCTGAATGATGGAAACTGACTGCTGGAAAAGTAGGTTACAAATGTCTGTTTAGCTGCGTTTGCATACCACGGTTATGCGCATTTGCATTTTAAGATAACCTCAGGAGACCTTCCAAAATGTCCAGAATGCACTGAAAAACAGTAAAAAATTAACTATTGCAGACATTTTGAGAGAAGCAGATAGAGCTTTATTTGTTGAGATTAGCTGTTTTTTTTTTTTTTTGTTTTTGTGATGTTTGGATGTGTTCCAGCTCATTTCTGTGCAGAAATTATTGCAGCAGTTTCTAACATTTTCTTTCATGCGAAACCTCAAAGTATGGTGTACCAGGTCCATTTGAGTACTGGGAAAACGCTCTGCATCAATTTTTCATGATGAAAAATGGCTCTGGACAGCATCTGGAAATGGAAGAGTTAAAAAAAAATTTCCAAACGCTTATGAGCGTTTACAAGTGTTTGCCATTTGAAACGCTGATAAAATCTACTCCTGAACGCAAGTTTGGTGCGTTCAAAAAAAAACGACTGTAAACTCAACTGCTTGTAAACCACATAGTGTACATGGACACATAGGAAAACATTAGGGAGCGTTCAGGGGCTGCTGAAAAAAAACGCAGAAAAGCTCCTAAACGTGAGTTTATCAGCTGCAATGTACATCGGAGTATTTACCAAAAGATGCCACTGGTTCATTTTAATAACCCTCAGCTGTGTGTCTGTATGATTTAGTTTTTTTTTTTTTTGTTTCTGGGGCTAAACACTTCCAACTGGCATTACCCGATCCAGTAGGCATACCTGTCTTGGATGTAAAGGCACTGTCATTATATGAATCAGGCATCAGTATCAATGTGAAACTAGTTTCAAAGCGGTGCACAGAGGAGGTTTTTCTGGCTAATGGTGGTTATAGACGGTATCTTGCTGTATTTGCCCTTAGGCCCTTAATCCACTTGTGCCCAGATTATAGATATATATGTATTTACATATTCTTAATAAGCAGTAGAATCGCTCTATACCAAAGCCTTCCATGACCTATCTGCATCTCCTGTGGAGTAATTCTCAAAGAAGTCAACTTAGACTGTAAAGTCAGGTTTAACAGCACCTACAGTGTGTTTCTATTAGGAGGCCAGCAGTCTGCCAAAATTCTGATGCAAAAGAAAGTAATTGGAAAAGAGATCAGATTTCAGTGCCCTAGTTGTGAATTTGAAGAATAATTTTTCCAAAATACTTATAGATGCAGATGTGAATGAAAGATTATTTTAAAGTGCTTTTTCTGCTTATGAAGAACACAGAAACATAGAGTGATGGCAGAAAAAAGATCAAGTGGTCCATTGAGTTCAAACAAATACTTGTTTACTGTTAGGCAGGCTATCTACTTCTGCAGTATTAGAGCTTCAGCGTGTGTCTGAGATTTAGCAGAAATGCTCTGTGTGGATTACTGCAACTCCTCACTGATGACTGCTAGATGTTAGACAACTGTTTCCTTCATTTTGATACCTAGATTAGCATAGGGGCACATCCTAATCACCCCGTGCACGTTATTGCTCTGTGTGGTGGCAGAGAGATGGGAAAGTTCTCCCACTGGCTGGCTCTGCCATAAGAGAAGTGGGGAAGCACTTCCCTTTCATTCTAAGGCCCCATGTACATGGGACACTTCTGAACAATGGAAACTGACTGCTTGAAAACGCAGGTTAAAAAAAATCTGTTTAGCTGCGTTTGCATAATGCATTTATGCGAGTTTGCATTTAGAAGCATTTTTTAAAGATAAGCACAAGAGAACCTCTCAAATGCCCAGAATGCACTGAAAAGTGGTAAATTATTAACTATTTCAGACTTTCAGAGAAATACAGAGAGTAGAAGCAGAGACAGCAGTATATGTTGAGATTAGGTGTGAGTTGCTCATTAACATTTCTTTTGTTTCCAAGGGTGGGAAAGGTGTCTGGTGGAGTGAGTCATTAAGGCCACCTGGCAGGGGGTCTGCATGAGGAATTTGAGGTGTGAATGGTCATTAACATATCTTTTGTTTCCAAGGATGGGAGAGGCCTGAGGTGTGCATTGGTCATTACAATTTGTGTGACAAGCTTGGTAGGAACATCCTGTGTTCAGTGTTTTTTCCATTTGAGTACCTTGAAAACGCTTTGCATGCATTATTCATGATGAAAAAAGACTCTGGACAGCATTGGGAACTGGAAGAGTTAAAAAAAAAAAAATTGCAAACACTTCGAAACGTGATTTGCCATGTTAACAAGCATTTTGCATTTGAAACGCTGATAAAATTGACTGCTGAACGCAAGTTTTCTGCATTTAAAAAAACGACTGTAAACTCAAATGCCTGTAAACGACTGTAAACGAAGATGTGTACACAGACACATAGGGAAACATTAGGGTGATTTCAGGGGCTGCTGAAAAAAACGCTGAACAGCTCCTAAACATGTGTTTATCAGCTGCAGTGTACATGAGCCCTCTCTGACTGGAAGAGTGGCACAAGGTACTGGCTTTAATAGTAATAAAATAATACATTTTATTTATAGGAGCCTTTCAGAACACCCAAGGTCACCGTACAAAGATAGCTGCAAAGCAACAATAAAGTAAATAAATAAAATACATTTCATTTACATAAACACTAATTAGAGAACAAATCAATCAAGTCAGACAGAGTATGCTAGTTTAAAGAGATGAATTTTGAGACGTAATTCGAAGTAGGAAGTCAATGTTGCAGATGTCAGGTGGCAGGGTGTTCCAAAGTCGGCGGGCAGAGCGACTATAGTATATACACATACACACGTGTTTGAGCTTTGGGGTGCACACCCTAATACAACATTCTGCACACAGCTATGTAGATTAGAGTATGGTGTAATAGACCTTAGTGACTGAAGAAAGTTCTATATATGTGGTAATTTTCTACATTTAATGTTCCAACTTCTATTTCAAAATGGCTTTTAGAGATTGATTGCTATCATTTGGAACATTTTGCTTTAGAACCCTTTTACATGTGAGATTTCTTTACCATTCTTTTCCTTTGTTTACAGAACTGCCTAAAATTGATTGTGGAAGCAGCAATGTCCCCAGCTCCTACAGAAAAAGCAACTCAAGAGACGGGGGTTCACTTCTCTCCTTCTCTGGATTTAAAGAGCCTGGCTGTTAGTGCTAATTTGTGTTCAAGTCATTCAAAACCCATGGGGAAAACCAATCTGCCTAATGGCAATAGCTCAGTTGCATTGCATACCAGAAGTAAATGGTGCCTTCAGAAAAACTCTACAAATTCGCAAGCTGATTGTCCTTCTTTACCACCTTATAGTTCTCACTATTTCCTGTCGAATTCTGGATTGAATGTTCAATATAATGACTGTTTCAAAGGTAAACTGGAGATCGACAACTGCAGACAGACTTTATATACAAATGCAGAAAGGAAAGTTAAGAGGGAACTTTTCCCAGGAACTGTAAGCCAGGTTTTAGCAGATGTGAACAAACTTTGGGACCTATCGGTGACTGAGGCTGAAGGTATGAATGGATCACCTGGTCCAAAATATAGGTTGAATGGAAGAAAAGAGGGGGAATGTCTTTCCATACCACTTGCTAGTAATTATTGTTTACCAGATTTACCACACCAGGAAACTACACCCCAGATGCTACCAAATAAGGAAAGTAAAGCCAAATCATCTTTTATGAGATGTCTAAATCGACAGCAAGTCCTTATAGATCGTGCAAAAAGAAATAAAAAGCGTATGCAGATGCTGTTGACTAATCATGTTGAGAAACGTTGCAGGCAACAGATAAGTAACTTTGTCAGTTATCAAATGAGAAAAGCAAAAATGATCAGCAATCGTGTAGGTCAACCAAGTATTAATATGAATATGAATCACAATGCTGCAGCCCCATCCAATGTAGCCAGTAATACCTGCATCAATCAGAATATACAAAACTTTGAGAATCTTCAAAGCACATCTAAAGGCATTTTAACCTATTTGGAGCGGCAGTTGGATTCTGACGCTACAGGAAGCAGTTCTGATGAAGACTGGGATGAGAAGCCTGGAAAAATGGATATCTGGTGAGTACGTGGTGGAATGTTTTATTATAACCATGAAAAACCATAATGCATTGGCTAGAAGTAGAAACAATTAAAGTGGATTTCCAGTCAAAACCTCTATAAAGCTAAACCTACTGCCACCCCCATTCTAAGCCTATTTCATCTAACCCTGTAAAGAAAAGATTACTTGCCTATTCTGAAGCCGCTCCGGTCTGGTCTCTAGTGGTGGCTTCTGTGGAGGAGAGAAAGCTGACAATGGCTGGGAAATGTCTCGGACATGACATCACCCATAAACTTGCTATGGGGCATTTGCATTCGTCTGCCCCTCCTCTACACAGAAGCCGCCGCTGACTGCTGAGCCTAGGACCAGACCAGCGAGGCTTCAGGATAGGAAACTTTACAGATCTTTTCTTTACAGGGTTAGATAGAATAGAGATGAGTGTAGGTTTAGCCTTAGTGAGATTTTGACTGGAATTCCACTTTAATTAACCACTTCCCGTCCGGCCCATGTATACAGACGGCCAGACAGTGGTAGTGTCGTTCATAAATGGTGCCTGCCATTTTGAACTGTGCGCGCTCCCTGGGAGCGCGCTGCACCGCTCGCTGTACAGGACCCCTGTGTGAGGTCCTGATCATGTGATCACGGATTGGACAATCCGTGATCACATGAATAGGTGTAAGCAAGATGTCACTTCTGACATCATTGCTTACTATCTGTGAAATCTGTGAATGATCACAGAGATCACATGGTACAAGGCTATTCACAACAGCCTTGTACCATGTGACAAGCTGTGACCAATCACAGCTCACACAGGATTTCTCAATGGCTGCAAGAATGCAGCCAGAGAGAAGGAGAAATGATTGCTTTTACAACCTTTTATGGGTGTAAAAGCAATCAGTATGAAAAAAAAAAACCCTGTCACTAGGGTGACACTGTACTGCTAGGGTGACAGTATGTAAATAAAAAATTATAATTTTTGGTTATAAACTAAGTTGGGTTGTTTTTTTTTTTTTACTAAAAAGATAATTGAATACACTTTGGTCACGATTTATGAAGAAAGATTATTTATTTGCAAAATTTTATAAGAAAAACACTTTTTTTCAACATTTTTGGACTTTTTCATTTATATAGCAAAAAAATAAAAATCCCAGTGGTGAATAAATCCCACCAAAATAAAGTTTTCTGTCTCAAAAAAATGCTAAAAATTCATATGGGTACAGTGTTGCATGACCGCGCAATTGTCATTCAAAATGTGATAGCACTGAAAGCTGAAAATTGGCCTGGACAGGAAGGGGGTAAAAGTGTACAGACATGAAGTTAATAAGGTGTTCGTAAAAAAAAAAAAAAAAAAAAAAAAAAAAAAAAAGGATCCCCCTTGAAGTTCACCTTACCAGTGGGGCACTGTAGGAGAAATCTGGTCTTGCCTCAGTTAATTCCAGTGAAGTAAGGGTTGTGGGAGGAGCTTTATTCTAGAACTACATCTATAAATTAGGCAGAGGCCTGTGGTCTAGTGGTTAGGGAGGAGGACTGCGAAGCACATCGTCGCAGGTTCCAGACCCCCCTCTGCCCGAACAAAACTTTTCTCCTAGATTGTAAGCTCGAAAGAGCAGGGCCCTCGATCCCCTCATGTTTTGCATTGTATTGGTATTGTTCTGTCACATGTTCTGTCCCCCTTTTGTAATGTACAGCGCTGAGCGAACCATTGGCGCTTTATAAATACTGTATAATAATAATAATAAAGCTTGTTCAGGTACTGGCCCAGGACAAGTAAGCTGCCAGTAAAGGCAGAGCTCGCTACCTAGGTCAGAGACTGAGGTAATAATGATACCAATGGATCAACAAGATAGCTATGTAACTAGAATTATCAGAAGTTGGAATGGCCACCTACATAATGGGCGCAGTGATCTTTTTGCAGAATGGTGTGTCACGCTGGTTAGGAACCTCACCACTAAGGGCAAGGTCAGAAGAATTTTCACTCCACACCTAAGTGTAGATTTATGCCACGTACACACGATACGTAAATCGTCCGAAAAATTTTGCGGAACCGTGGATCGAACGATTTTCTCTTCGTTGATGAGCAGGATGTTTCAACCGATAACTATATTGTGAACGAAAAAATCCGGTTGAACAACAGTGAAAAATGTTATTTCGCATACGAACGACCAATTTTCTATGCGGTGGTATGACGGTCATACGAAAAAAATCTATCAAGCGCTATCACGCATGAGCGGAAACAGATGACCCGGATGTTTATGTCCAAGGAATCTTAGTAAACACGAACGAAAAATCCAAATGTTAAAAGTAGATTTTCCTAATGAGATAATGAAACCAGAATTCTGCATATTATATTTTTATGTATCACTATTTATGTATATAGTTAATGTAATAAACCAGGCCTTGAAATTTACACTCGCCTCCTTGCATTGGCGAGTGGAAATTATGGTGGGGCGAGTGTGTCCCCCAGGGCCATCTTGCTGAGCAGGCTCAGAACTCAGGGCTGGCTCCGTCACTCGCACTGGGAGCCGTCAGACTGCTCAATAGTTGAGCAAAGTGAAAGCAAAGGAAGGAGTACGTGGTGTTCTTTCTGCCTCCTCCTATAGTGCAGTACCCAGCTCTGTGAGTGAAGGTAACGAAGTACTGTACTACAACCTTTTTATAGGGGTGTGTGTGTGTGTGTACGTGTATGTACTTGTGTCTGTGTGTGTATATGTGATGTAATATAGGGGGACTTTGGGGACCTTGAAATAATGTGGGGGACTCTGGGGACCCTGATGTAATGTGGGGGGACTCTGGGGACCCTGATGTAATGTGGGGGGACTCTGGGGACCCTGATGTAATGTGGGTAACATTTAAGTGTAATTTCATGAGATAATTTACGAGGGCATGTTTAGGGGCAGAATTAGGGGCTGGGCAGGGTAAGGGTTGGGTGGTGCAACTGGTGGAGAGCATACTTCTCTTCTGAAGACTGATCCCCTTTCCGATCATACTTCGGAGGCGATGGAGAGGTGGCGAGGACACAATGTGTCACCTTACTGCCTGCTTTAACCCCACTTTTGCTAACAAATGCACCACACCCATGTGCATTGCGGTGCTTCTCCATTCACCTCAATGTATCTCATTCAGCGGGCTTGCCGCCCACTACAGGATGGGTGGATTTTGCTACGAGAGCAAAGCATTGTGACTGCAGCATGTAAACACCCCAGTTCACTGCCTATTACAACCTAAGGGGGAGCAGTTGAGAGATGGTATAGATGTTGCTCAACTGCACATTTTTACCAGCCCCCAACCACTCGTCTAAACTTAGCCTAATAGTATAGTCCACCCTTGTTAACCCTTTGAACACTGAGAAACTCTTAAAATACTTTTCTGTCTCTTTCTCAGGAAACCTCTGCTAACTATATCTACAGCTCATAGTACATTAGCATGATGGTCAGTAGGAAAAATACTCTTTACATTGGTGATCAGCGGCGAGAATCTCCCCTTACCAGGGGCGGACTGACCATTTGGAAACTCGGGCACTGCCCGAGGGCCCGGGGTCAGTAGGGGGCCCCATGAGATGCCCCTGGTACCTTTTTTTCATAGGCTTTTTTAAATTTGGGCAAGGACACAGGGGCCCCATGATCCCCTATTGCCCCCGGGGTCAGTAGGGGGCCCCGTGAGATGCCCCTGGTACCTTTTTTCATAAGCTTTTTTGAGTTTGGGCAAGGACACAGGGGCCCCATGATCCCCTATTGCCCCCGGGGTCAGTAGGGGGCCCCATGAGATGCCCCTGGTACCTTTTTTCATAAGCTTTTTTGAGTTTGGGCAAGGACACAGGGGCCCCATGATCCCCTATTGCCCCCAGGGTCAGTAGGGGGCCCCATGAGATGCCCCTGGTACCTTTTTTCATAGGCTTTTTTGAGTTTGGGCAAGGACACAGGGGCCCCATGATCCCCTATTTCCCGGGGGCCCCAGGAGTTGTTAGTCCACCCCTGCCCCTTACAGATAGCTAAAAGGTTAATGATGTCAGTAGCTACCTATCTGAAAGGAGGAAATTACACAAGGAACCCCTAGCAACCTCTGGATGAACCCTCATTGAAATAGGCTGGTTAAGTGAAATGCTTTTGTAAAGCCTCAATAGCATTTAACTGGCTGATCCTGGCAAAGTGCAGATTTGGAAAGTGCTACATACTGTGAGAGTGACACCCTTTGGCTAACGTAGGATATTGTCCTCAATAGCAACATCATATATTCAGCAAAATCTTTACTAGTCCGATCTTCAAAAGTCCCACTTTAAAGCATTAAACTTCAGCACCCTCTGTTTCTTGCAGCTGCACTGATTGCCAGAACTAAATTTGAGTATATCTATCTGCTTTTTGCTAAAATCGCACAGTCTGTATTGGCTACTGTCGTCATCAGGATGGCTCCATTTTGTCCTGCTTCTGACCTACCCCCTCCCTTCCCCATCTTCCCTGTTCCCCTTTGCCCCTTCTAATGTTTTTAAAACTGCCCACTGCTGACAGTAGATTGGGATAGTAGCCTGGAATCAGGGGCAGACTGACAACTCATGGGGCCCCCGGGCAATAGGGGATCATGGGACCCCTAGGTCCTGTCTCAAACTCAAAAAAACCTATGAAAATGGTACCAGGGGCCCCCTGACCCCGGGCCCTCAGGCAGTGCCCAAGTTTCCGAATGGTCAGTCCGCCCCTGCCTGGAATACAGACACCTGGTGCATCACAAACAAATCCAATGGATTGACTCTTATTTGGGCAATGTGTCTAATCAATACCAGCCTCTGGCTAAGACAGCGAACCCGTCTAAGGTTGGTATTAAGCAGCCACATGCCCTGAAAAAGAATCTGTCCCTGAACCTCAGAGCCATAAAGAAGGCTAGGAGAGAACCACTTGTCTGATCAAAGACCTCAAATGTACTTTTGTGGGGGTATCTGTTGTTGCTGGTGGAAAATCTTTTGCTCTAAGGTTCTTATGTTGTTGGGGGGATCCACTGTAAAGGGAAGGGTCTATTGATGCTGGCTGCTGGG